ACTACTTTCTCTCACCCTCTCTTCTCTCTCCACAACGTCGCCGACTGCATTCATGACATCTTCGATAGCTCGCCACCGTTGCCCAGCCCATCTCCGCCCTCAATCTAAAAGAAGCGAGATTTAGAAGAAGCGTGATTCACTTGACGCCGCTGCAGCCGATTATGAACCCTATCTCTCGCACCTCCCCTCCTCTTCCCCATTTTTTTGTTTGGTGGATGCGGACTGTGGTCTCAGTGCAGACCAGTAGTTCTGGTGCGATGGTGATACGGTGGTGTATGTGTGCGCGTGCGTGTGCGGCGGCGGTGGTGGTTGTGGTTATTTTGTGCGTGCGTGCGTCGTTGGGTGTCGGGGTTTTGCTGTGCGTGCGGTTGACGATGGTTGCGATGTTGGATTTGCCGTGAGGTTGTGGTTTGGGTGTTGGGAGGATGCAGTTGTGGATATGTCGTGAGGTTGTTGGGTGTTGCGTGTGGCGGTGGGTGTGCTGGCGAGATGGGGTTGGAGGTGACTGTGATTATTTTGTGTGTGGTTATTGGTGGCTGTGATTATTGGTGGTCGTGGTTATTTTGTGCATGCATGCGGCGATGTGTGTCTGGTTTTGCTGTGCGGCAGTGGAGGATCTAGTGATTTTGGTTTTGTGACTAAAATTATAATATGTGACCTTAAAATTCAGTAATTCGTGACTAAAAATATAATCTGTGACCAATCATTTTGTTGTCTGTGATCTAAAATTTATATAATATATGACCGTGAAAAAATCTGTGACCAATTAATTTGGAAATCTGTGATTGTGTGACCTATAAATTTTGATATGTGACCAACGAATTAATTGTGACTTACAAAATTTTTGAACTGTGACCGTAAAATAATTTGTGACGTATAAAAATTATTATTGGTGACTGAAAAATGATATATGACTATCTAAATTATGAATCTATGACCATATTGTATAAATTGTTGGAATCGGAGTAGTCGTCGGAACAATCACCGGAATAATTTTCGGAACTGGAGCAATCGCCGGAACGGTCGTCGGAATAGTCGCCGGAATGGTAGGGGTGGTGGAGGTGGGGTGAGTTAATTATATTATATTATAATTAAATATTTAATAATAAATTAATTTAATAATTTATTATTTCATAAATAAAAATTTAAAAAAATTTTAAAAAAATCTGATTTTGATAACTTTAAACTTGTATTCTTATT